CTCTCTCTCTCTCTCTCTCTCTCTCTCTCTCTCTCTCTCTCTCTCTCTCTCCAGAGACCCTTTCTAATTTTTAAAAAATTGAAAAAATAAATAAATAAAACGTTAGAAAAAAGATCATTGTAAACTACGTCTTCAACACTTTGATTTTCTCCTAACCTGAGCATGTGACTATTTATTTCCCATTGTAATCATTAAAATACGATGAGCAATTAATGCATTCATCTAAACAAACGTTCTCTTCTGGTTCACCTCTAACGAGCATGCCCTACCTTTGGAACCCCATACAGTCAAGCTCAGTTGGAATAATTGTTTATAGAATTCATAAGACTTAATTAATAATAGGAAAGAAAAACGTGCAGGCATGCAACTACCATTAGTAAATATATTTCCTTGTCAGCAATCAATTTAATAATACTAGCTTTAATAAATAAATTTTAATTTTTAATCAAATGGCGTCGTTAGCAAGATATTTAAAGACCTGCTTTCAAAAAATACTTGACATGTTTTGAAACTCAAATTTTTTAACGGCAAATTTCCCAAAACTAGGTACTGAACAGATAAAATTTGTAATTCTAAGATAGGAAACTGGCAAAATTCGTATTAAGTGCCTTTTCTTAGTACTCAACTTCAGATCGAGCTGAGCTTCGAACCCCAAAACCATCAATCTCATAAACTCAAAAATTATTTTGGTTCACAAATAATATTTCATTTTGATCCCCAAAACCTGCATTCTCACAATTACAACAACAAAAGTATTTATGTTCACAAATAATTACATTTATTTTGATCCCCCGAGCCTCCAAGCTCACAAATACAAAAATTATGTTTGTTCACAAATAATATTATTGTTTGATCCTCAAACCCGCAACCTCATAATAACCAAAATCGTAATAATTTATTTGTCCACAAATATTATTATTTATTTTTCAAAAAGGCAGAAAAATCTGACTAAAGCTCAATTATTCACTGCTCTCTCCAAGGAAGAAAAGAATAGAAAAAGAGTTGGCAAGCTGGGTGGCAAAAATGATGACAGGGGAATGCAGGTAGGTGGAGACATCTCGCCTGGACTAGAGTAGACAGTTCAGTAGAGAACTGGGGATCTTTTCTGGCAAACATATAATATCTTCCTATTCTCCCCTCCTTCTTTTCTATCAAACATCTATCGACCTTATCTTCCCACCTTCTTTCCTATCAAACACCTAGCCTGGACTAGAGTAGAGAGTAGAGATCTGGGGATCTTTTCTGGCAACAGAGATCTATCGACTTTATTTCCCCTCCTTTTTTCCAATCAAACATCTGTTATCTTTATATCGCCTCCGTCTTTCTAATCACGCCCTCCTTCTTTCTTGTCAAACATCTATCGCACTTATCTCTCCTCCTCCTTTCCTATCAAACATCTATCGTCCTTATCCCTCCTTCTTCCTTCCAATCAAATATATATCGCCCTTATCTCTCCTCCTCCTTTCATATCAAACTTCTATCGTCCTTATTTCTCCCCCTTCTTTCCTATCAAACATCTATCGTCCTTATCTCTCTTCATTCTTTCCTATCAAACATGTATCGTCCTTATCTCTCCTCCTTCTTTCCTATCACACATCTATGGTCCTTATCTCCCCACCTTATATCCTATAAAACATACATCGCCCTTATCTCTCCTCCATCTTTCCTATCAAACATATAATATCTTTTTTATCCCCGCTCCTTGTAGGTGGTTGGCGGGTGCTCTGGTGTGATTTTCTCCTTTTTTCCTATCATACATCAATCGATTTTTTGTCTCATCCTTCGTTCCTATCAAACATATATCGTTCTTACCCCCCCCCCCCCTCCATTCCTATCAAGCATATAATATCGTCCTTATCTCCTCTCCTTCGTTTTTGTTTTTGTTACTCTCTTGTAACACCTCTAATCTTCGGCGGCTAAAACAGCACCTGGACATGGTGCCTCTATAAATAAATCATTGATGGTCTGGTCTCTAATCTTCGGCACTTCTATGACCTTATTGGTTTAAAAATGCCTTGAAAAGATTACTTATACCTACTGAAAAAAGTAAACAGGGGTCTACAAACTTATTTTTAAAAAGTGGGCTAGGTAACTGATTTGTTCGATACAAAAATCTGGTGTGTCCAATTGGTCGCCTCTAAACCCAAGGTGGCTATACCGCAAAATGCTGTTTTGAGAAATTCGAAATTAAAGTTTTTGGACCCTTGTTCAGTTTATTTAAAAAACAAGGAAACTTTTCTCTATAACCCAACAAATATACTCACCAATGAAATTAAACTTCTATAGGTAGGACAATGCCCACTTTTGGTGCATTTCAAGATTTCTGGAAACTCCCGAAATCTGGGTTAGCCCGCTTTTCCTTAAAAGCGGCCAATGAAAGATTTGTTCCTTGATATGCGAACAAGTCAGAATGTGAACTATACAATTGTATTTGCATCATATTATATTATCTTTATCATAATGACACTCTCCAATATGTCCACCTGTATAAGACAACCACTTTCACTTTTTTCGTCTTTTTCATCGACGGGTATTGGCAATAGTGATAGATATCTAGTTGTGTTAAATAAACTCGACTGTATGCTCATTATTTTTATCCAACTTGTGGAATCTTGAGAGTTTATGTATGAGTTTTCTTGCGTTTTTTTTAAGTCACTGTGTCTTCTAACATGTGTCTTTGACTCAATGGATATTATGCTGGGCAATGGTTTGTATGACGATGACTCAGTTTATCGAACTTGCGGAATCTTGAGAATTTATGTATGAGTTTTCTTTGTGGTAAAGATTGCTTACGTTTTAAAAGTTACGGTTTCTTCTAAGATGTGTCTTTGACTCAGTGTATATCATTCTGGGCAGTGATTTGTATGACGCTGGTTCTAAACTCCTAATGGAGCTTTCTTTACCCTGGATTGCTTAGGGTTTTGTTTGGGTTTTTTTGTGATGCGTTGTTTAGGGGGTTTCGAATTTCTTTTTTTTTTTTACACTGGGTCGCTTGGGATTTTTGAGTTGTTGCTGTTTAGTTTCTGTTGTTGTTGTTGCTGTTATTGTTGTTGTTGTTGTTGTTGTTGGTGTTGTAATGGTTATTGTTGTTGTTGTTTAGTTTCTGTTGTTGTGGTTGTTGTTGTTGTTATGGTTATTGTTGTTGTTGTATTTGTTGTTGCTGTGGTTGTTGTTGTTGTTGTTGTTGTTGTGGTTGTTGTTGTTGTGGTTGTGGTTGTTGTTGTTGTTGTTGTGGTTGTTGTTGTTGTTGTTGTGG